CGCAGTGCTGCGTCATCAGCCAATCAGAAGCAGGCGGAGAACGCAGAGGTTCTGCTGCCGATGACGAGGACGCACTTTACTGATGCCAAAGTAAGAGTCTGTTTATTATTATATTATTTACCAATGTGCAATTGAAATGACTAACATAGATTAGGCTTAAATTAATATTTACATTTTTTTTTATTTAATTTTATTTTATTGTATTGTATTGTATTGTATTGTATTTGTGACCCTGGAGCACAAAACCAGTCATAAGGGTCAAATTTGTGAAATGAGATTTATACATCATCTGAAAGCTGAGGGTGCAAAAAAATCTAAATATTGAGAAAATCGCCTTTAAAGTTGTCCAAATAAAGTCCTTAGCAACTGAAGTTTTGATATATTTACGGTATGAAATTTGCAAAATATCTTCATGGAACATGATCTTTACTTAATATCCTAATAATTTTTTGCATAAATGAAAAATCGATAATTGAGCCATACAATGTATTTTTGGCTATTGCTACAAATATACCTGTGCTACTTATGACTGGTTTTGTGGTCCAGGGTCACATATTAGTGTTATATTTAATCTCTACTGTGTTATTCCTATGTATGTCCGCACTATCATGTATGTTTGCACTATGTCCGTACTTTCTTCTGCACTGGAAGCTCCTGTCGTCAAGTCAAATTCCTTGTGTGTGTAAACATACCTGGTAATAGAGCGCTTTCAAAGCTCTTTCTGACCTCTGATATATATACATACACATATACATATGTATATGTATATATATATATATATATATATATACTCACATATATATACTCACACTCACACTCTCACCAATCATCCTTTTCAAAGGTTTACATCCTCGGTATTGCCGTATAATTAAGTCACACAATACTGAACCGAAAATAAGTCTGCTGATTATTTTTATCTATATTTGTTTTTTATACTTTTCTCTCACATCTTTCACCTTTTTCACTAACATCACCTGAGATTTTTCACAAAATCAATCATTGTCAGTGTCATGATGCCTGAAATTGTGAAATTTAAATGTCTCTGTGTTAATTTAAATTAGACCGATAAACCACGCACTCTCATTTCAGCATTGATATGTTATGTTTCTCTAAGCAAAGTTTGCTTTGTACATTCAGTTTGACAGCTTAACTTCATCATTCGATTTTAGACATACGGTATGTTCTTGCTACATCCATACAATACATGATTGTTAATGATATTCAGTTGAACTGCTCGGGTAATGTCAATGGATTGACCCATTTCAGGAATGGCCTGAATTACAATTTAAAATCTCTAAAAGTTAGGAATGTACAGTATCCACCACTAATATAAGTAAAGCTTCATGTAAGTAGGCAAATTTCTACAAATGTTTTGTATATTATTACACTTTTTTTAATACACAGAAGTATATTAGTTGCCCTGTAAGCTCAATAACATTTGTCTGATACTCGTGTTTCCCCATTGCACATCTGCTGTTGTCTTCAGTGTGATGACTTCCATTTTGGGTGATAAAGTGTTCAATTCAGTGTTAACTGCTCTGGCTGTTCTTAGCCCATCTGGTATGATGATCTGGCCAATGTGGCCTCCATTACCAAATGAGTTCCCCACCCCTGATTTAAAGCAGTGAGCACTCGATGCTCAGTGCAAAGTCTTGTTCTATCTCTGCAAACATTTCTTGTATTGTTTTGTGGATGTTTATCTTGGTTTGGATGTTTATGTTGCCCTAGCTTTAGGTTTATTGGACTGGACCCCGGACTGTTTGCACAGTATTTTGACCTCTGCCTGATCATCTTGTATCTCTGCTTTATGTCAAGCAACACTCCACTGTCGTTTAGCAGATTTCCTCCATATTACTCCTGGTATCTGTTCTCTCTCTACATATTCACTGTTTGTCTCACACATTTTGGTTTGTTCTCATTTATTCTCTTTCAGGATGTTTCGTGCTTTCAGGATGTCCCCCCTCCCTGTATTAGTTTAATTTAGTGGCCACCACGAGTGTCCAGAATCTCAACTAAAATGCTTTTTTTTTTTTTTTTTGCTTAACATTAATTCAATATTAATTTTGCCACAAAGTGAAGTATGCTGATGGTTTTACAATAACAAAACTCCTAATGGGGTCCTTACCTGGCTGGTATAACTCAGAATTAAGGCTTTGGACCATTTTCCATTTTATTTTTCACTATACAATCTTTTAGTGAGACATTTTATTTAGGTGTTAAAATAATGTAGGCCTAATCTTTATATATGAATTAAATGTTTAAACAACATTATGACAATGCCAAAATACAACCAGGCCAAATCTTCTGTGGAACTCAGTTCTGTTTTAATGGCACTTGTTACATGAACATACAAAGATCTTGCAAGTTTCTTTTTTTTTAAATGCTTTTATGAGCTAAAGTTTAAGTCCAGTCAAGTCACCTTTATTTATGTAGCGCTTTATACAATACACATTGTGTCAAAGCAGTTTTACAGTGCTTTAAAGCACATTTTCTTTGGATGCTGCAAAAGAAAACCAAAAGGGAAAAAAAAAATGTTTCTAAAAAATATTGCACTAAGTGCGCAAGGCACATGTTTTGGTTTTCTGCTGAGGTTGCAGTACAGATTTTGGTGAGGGGTGACACTGAAATAACATTTCTAACAGCATTTACAAAATAACCATAATAAATTTCACCTACTAAATCTCGCTGTTCTTCTAAACTCCAGCTAAAAAAGCTGAAAAGCTTAATGAGAAGTAGATTTAGTTACAAAGGAAAAAGAAAAACAATTGACAAAGAAAGTATAATTTTACAAATGAAGACATTCAGGGTAAAGTAGCAAACATCTGAACATTATAACAAAGTGCATATTTTTGTTATATCAGTAAATATAGACATAGTAAATAGACTTTCAATAAACATTCATTTGCTTAAAACCAATAAAAGCTCATGCAGCTTCAAGTAACACATATAGAAGTTAATATATAACAAAATATTTATAAAAATAAAAAAAACCTATTTGGCATTTTGTTCCAGTTCTGTTACTGAAGTACCCGTGTTACTACAGGTTCAGTTCCTGAGATCCAATTCCCAGCATTTTGACCAAAGACACTATGGTGATACTTCTTGGATCAACACTTGCAGGATTTGAAACTTTCGCCACAAATCTATGACCCCACAAACAAACATATACAAAGTGCTTCATCAATTTTAAAAAAGATTCCTGCTAAAAACGCCAGTTTAGTGTAACGTGAATGTTAGGAATAACAGCATACTGGTGATGTTTCTTTCCAGTGTTGTCAATATGCTAATACGGTTAATAGTGACTGTAACGTCACAAGTAACAGTAGTACAGACTCAATTCAGTACCTGCGTGTTTGACTGACACTCATTAGTGTATTTGCACTTGCATCGCACATTTTAATATTACTTGTTCAAAAAAATCAGTCAGTTAATGAAACAAATGGACAAAAAGTCTCTCTCTCTAAACACTAAAACACTCTAAAAAATGCTGGGTTAAATCACCCTTATCTTATCCTTTTTTTTTTTTTTTTGGCTAAGTTTTAGTTTTCTAATTTTAGTAAAAGAAAACATGAAATTTAGTCACGCTGCACAATGGTTTAACTGATCATCATGATTACTTTGCTCAAAATCTAATTTCCAGATTTATTATATTTCTCATACAAATTTTTTTGGGGAAAAAAAGCAGGATTTTAGTAAATTAAAACTTAATTTTAGTCTTGTCTTTTTGTCAACAATACTGCATGTTGATATAGTTACATTTAGTGTTTAATGACTGGTATTGGTACTGACTGCTGAAATCTAAATCTGTAATATAATAAGCTATATCTATAATAAGCTATTTTTCTTTGAGTAATGATAGCTTTATCCACTTCTCTCATTTCTCAACTCCTCTCCATGTTTCTTTTCAATGAAAATATCAAAATAAAAAATAGGGTTATGTTAATGTCTCACTGGCCGCCTCAGGCTCAGTCTGGTTTGACGACGATTCATTAGGAGTGTTTGCCACTACAGGGTCAGTCTGATTTGAGGATGAGTCTTCAACACCATTTGCCTGTAGGAAAACAGAAAAAAATAAAACACAGATAAATAAATATTAAGTTAATGTACTAAACATTTTAATGGTTTATTGGTTTTGTAAATATCCTGGAAAGGCCTTATATGGTCACTGACATAAATGTTACGTGTTTAATTTTTTTATATTACAATGAATATTTTTTATTCATTTTTTTTTTTTACTTATTGATCATCGTAACAACTTATGGTAAATATAAATCGGAAAATGTAATAAATTAATACAATTATATTATAACATAACATTTAAATCACACCAGTTTTTAATATAAAGTGTAACAGCATGAGAGCAGAGCTGTCTTGAAGAGTCAGTTATTACTGGTGTTTCTATAAAAATTATTGGTGTTTCTAAGCAATATTTATTTATTTATCATTATATTGATACATTTATATATTTATCATATATATTTTCCAGTCAGACAGATTCAGTACACATTGTATCTCACCTGATGACTTCGCTGCGTCCTGATTTCTGTAAGAAAAATAATAACTCAAATTAAACACACATTACTTTGGTTAAAAAATCACTTTTTTTTTTACGATTATTTCCACACAACAAATCTCAAATTTCCATCTTGTTAAATCAACTGTATGTAACACTCACATGTCCTTCTTGAATGGCACTTGCAAGAGTAAATGAAACCAGCAGATGCAACCAAGAACATCAGAACAGCAGAAACAGCAGCATATATTCCTGTTAGGTCAGCTGAAAACATAAGAGTCATTATTATAATTGGGCAACTGATAATCTGATGATAATATGATAACATTGATGTGAGGGGGAGGAAGGCATGGTTACACCCCAAGCTTAAGACCAATGTCCAATCTGTCTAAACCTCAGTTATTAATCACTTTTTTTTAAGTCAACCGCAATGAAAACATTTACTGGGTTGATTTAAACATTTCAAACTGGACTGAAAAAACTGCTCAAGGGAAAATTCACTGAATGACTAAATGATACTCACCAGTGACAGTAACACTGAAGCTCTTTACACTGGTGATGCGGATTGTGCTGTTGCTGTTGATCTCTAGTTGATAAAGTCCAGAGTCTGTGGTTCTGGTGTTTGTGATGGTCAGAGATCCAGTCTGATTGTCCAGCTTCAGTCTGTCTCTGAATCTCTCTTCAGCATCTTCACACTGAACATCTGTACAGATACTCTGATCTCCAGTGATTACAGCGATGCGAGTTTCATTAAAATGCCACATTAAATTATATGGTTTGTTTATTACATGAGTGTCTAAAGTGACAGATTCTCCCTCCTTCACTGACTTTCTCTTCATTTTATCTCGTTCAGCAGCAGAAACACCTGAAACACAAACCAACAGCTGCTGGAGGATCTTTTTGCTGAAAACAACAAACAAACTACACAACATGAGAGAACTGTGGATATGGGTTAAAACAGTTAAAACTAAGAACTAGCCGATGAGGAAAAAATGTTTTTAATCATACTGAACTAAACTTGTAGTTAAATTAAATTTCACTTCAATGTGTTTTTGAAGGAATTATCTATTCTGTATACTATATCTATGTGAATGCATATGAAAGAGGAAAAACACCTCTGAATGTCACTGCAAAAATATCACGAAAACACTTTAATGATGTGATTTAAAGGGGTCATAAGATGCGATTTCAATTTTTCCTTTCTCTTTGGAGTGTTACAAGCTCTTGGTGCATAAAGAAGATCTGTAAAGTTGCAAAGACTAAAGTCTCAAATCCAAAGAGATATTCTTTATAAAAGTTAAGAGTCAGCCACACCTACCTAAAACGGCTCGTTCTAACACGCCCCCACACGTCTACCTCACTATGTGGGAAGATTTGCATAACGCCGCCCAAATGTTCACGCAAAGAAAGAAAGCGTAACTTTTATTCTCGCTGTAGTATTGTTGCCGCCGCCGCCATGTCGTGAAGGCGCTGTGTGCATCGTTGTGAAAGTGAAACTACTTTGTTTGGACTTCTAAAAGAGTACGATAGCTGATACTTGCTGGTCGCTGAGGAAATACTTCAACTTTGCGCTGTGGATCGGCTTTCACCATGGACGAAGCAGAGTCCAGCCCGGGGTCGTCACATGTGGTTGCCGCAGGCATCACAATATAGTAAAGGATGTAACATTTCCATCACACGCTTGAGGAATTCGGCCAATCACAACGCACTGGATAGCTGGCCAATCAGAGCACACCTCGCTTTTTCAGACCGATGAGATTTGTAAAAATCGGCGCTTTTCAGAAAGGCGGGGCATAGAGGAGAAACAATATTGTACAGTATGTGGAAAATAATATGTTTTTTTAACCTTAAACCACATAAACACATTTCATTACACCAAATACACAAAATAATGTTCTTTTTAGCAGCATCATATGACCCCTTTAAGACTTAAAACATAATGACTCACCAGTGACAGTAACACTGACATTACTTTGGATGCTGCTGCTGCTGGTGTTTATCTCTAGTTTAAAAAGTCCAGAGTCTGTGGTTGTGATGTCTCTGATGGTCAGAGATCCAGTCTGATGATCCAGCTTCAGTCTGTCTCTGAATCTCTCATTACCTTCATTACACTGAACATCTGTACAGATATAAATGAGATCTCCAGTGATTTCAGCGATGAGAATGTCATTAAAACGCCATATAATCTCTTCTTGTTGGTTTGTTTCAACATCAGTGTGTAAAGTGACAGAATCTCCCTCCTTCACTGATACTTTGCCTGAACCAACAGAATAACCTGAAGAAGAAATCAACAGTTCATTACAAGTCAAACAAAAAACAACAGGGACCACCTCCTAAAGTGGTTAAGAATGAATAGGTTCAAATCCGTCTCGAAAGCATTTCGGAGATCATTTACACCTGGTCTTTTCACAATCGAACAGCTATCCGATCAGAGAAAACGCATAAAGTGACCAGGTGTAAACACGGCCACTGATCATCCTGCACATATTAATACTTAAGATAATTGTGCTATTTTCCACCACGTTAAGATACAATGTCACATTTTTCTACAAATATGGTTTTTATTTTTAGTCCTACTGTTTAAATCTCCCGCATAAATAACATGTTTTCATTTACATTTCTATTAAATTAGCAGAAACTAAAAGCGACTCACATCACATTCAGTGTATACTGATCAGTTTATGCACAAATGCCTTGACTTGAAAGTAGAGGAAAGTAAATGGCTGCAGATGGAACCGGACACATATGAGATAAAAGACAGATATATTTTTTGAGTATCATCATGAAATTATACTCACTAGTGACAGAAACACCGAAGATCTTTACGAGGCTGCCACTGATCTTTAGTTTATAAACTCCAGCATCTTCAGTTCTGATGTTCATGATGGCCAGAGATCCAAACTCATCCAGCTTCAGTCTGTCTTTGAATCTCTCTTTACACCGGACATTAGTACAGATCTTACTGAGATTGCCAGTGCTTTCAGCAATGAGAATGTCATTAAAATACCATCTAATCTTTTCCTGTGGGTTTGTTTTAACACCAGTGTGTAGAGTGACTAAATCTCCTGTCTTCATTGACACTGGCACCCCACCTGCACAAACACCAGACACAATTGAAGTGAACAGTTAATTATGAGCCAAACAATCAGGAAAGGGCTGTAAAAATGTTTTTCTCCAGATCATAAAGATTTTGAGAAGTCAAATATGTCTGGATTCACATGCAAACAAACAGCAGAAGAACATCATTGATTCACACATTCACTCATCAAACACACATTTACACAATTTATATCATCACTCAATGATACTCACCAGTTACACTGACACTGAAGTTCGCAATGATGCAGATTCTAATGCTGCTGATCTGTAGTCGATAAAGTCCAGAGTCTGTGGTTCTGGTGTTTGTGATGGTCAGAGATCCAGTCTGATGATCCAGCTTCAGTCTGTCTCTGAATCTCTCATCAGCATCTTCACACTGAACATCTGTGCAGATCTTACTGAGATCTCCAGCGATGCAAGTGTCATTAAAAATCCATAGAATATTTTCTTGTTGGTTTGTTTTAACACCAGATTTTAGAATGACTGAATCTCCCTCCATCACTGACACTGGCACTCCATCTGAACCAACACAACAACAGGTAATTACAAGCAAAACCAAATATGTCTGGATTCATAATGTAACACATACAAACAAACAGCAGAAGAATAAATATCTTATACATCTTAAAGGATTAGTTTACCACAAAATGAACATTTCCTGATTATTTACTCATCCCCATACCTTGAATATGACTTTCATTCATTAACAGAAATTAAGGTTTTTGAGGAAAACATTCCAGGATTTTCTCCATCTAATGCAAATGATCAGGCAATGATACCAAAGTCCCTTCTATTATCTTGGAACGTTTTCCTCAAAAACCTTAATTTCTCTTTGGTTGAAGAAAGAAATTCATATACATCCTGGATGGCTTAGGGATGAGTAAATAATCACTACTCCTACTCCTTTAATGAACACCATACAACCCATACATTTTACATAGATGAATAATATCTATAATAATACTTCAAGAAAGTGTGCTATTTACCACACCATATGTGACCCTGGACCACAAAACCAGTCATAAGTAGCACAGGTATATTTGTTGCAATAGCCAAAAATACACTGTATGGGCCAAAATTATCGATTTTTCTTTTATGCCAAAAATCATTAGGATATTAAGTAAAGGCCATGTTCCACGAAAATATTTTGTAAATGTCCTACCGTAAATATATTAAAACCTAATTTTTTATTAGTAATATGCATTACTAAGAACTTAATTTGGACAACTTTAAAGGCAATTTTCTCAGTATTTAGATTTTCTTTTTGCACCCTCAGATTCCAGATTTTCAAATAGTTGTATCTCGGCCAAATCTTGTCCTATCCTAACAAACCATACATCAATGGAAAGCTTATTTATTCATTATTATCATATTTCAGTTTTTTTTTTTTAAATTGACCCTTATGACTGGTTTTGTGGTCCAGGGTCACATATAAGAATTCCTTTGGGATTCAGTGGAAGGAAAAATAATCTCCTTATATAATAATTTTACAGTGACTGCTGTATTTATTTCAATCTCTTCCAGTGAAAACTGCTCAGAACCTAGTTCATTTTAATGGTTTATGTATGTAGACTGATGGTCTTTTCCCATCAGTAATGAATTTAAAATAAAAGAAAAAAGATTGTTCTCGAGATTGCGGATCATAATTTCCTATACTAAATGGTTTATGTATTAACAGTGCACTATTCCAGTTATCTATCTATATCTATATATATATATATACAGTGGGTACGGAAAGTATTCACAATTATAAAACATTATCTCTATGTGTCACGGCTTGGTGGCACATAAACAAAATAAAGGTCTGGATTTAGTCACAGCAGTGTCTTCTTTTATTCACAAAACTCAAATGGAATAGAATACTCTGAACTCAAGATATAACTTTGGAACAGAACAACCAAACATACGTCGATGAGATACACACAACAAGCTGAGGTGGCTGCCTCTGACTGAGGAGTGCATTCAAACCGTTTAATGCACAGCTAGCTGTGGACTATCTACTAAGTTTCATCAGGCTTAAATTGTGAGAGACTGTCCACCACAGATTCCTGACTTTAACCCCATTGAAAGTCTTTGGGATGTGCTGGAGTCGACTTTACACTGACTGTCCAAAAAAAAATTCCCACACCATTTCATTGGACTGCTATTAGCTTTGATAGCATAGTAGACAGACTTGTTAAAAAAAAAGAGAAAAAAAAAATCGTATTGAAGGTGGAAAAAGATCTGACTTTTTTTTTTTTTATCTTTAAAAAAAACTACTGTCTTAACAAGGGGTGTATACTTTTTTTTATCCACTGTACGAGATCAAAGATGGAAATAATTACTAAGTATCATGAATTAATTTTACTCACTAGCAGCAGAAACACTGAAGCTCCTAATGATGCTGAATCTGCTGCTCCTGATCTGTAGTTTATAATCTCCAGAGTCTGTGGTTCTGGTGTTCATGATGGTCAGAGATCCAGTCTGATGATTCAGCTTCAGTCTGCCTCTGAATCTCTCAGCACCATCTTCACACTCAACATCTGTACAGATTTTACTCTGATCTCCAGTGATTTTTTTAGCAATGAGAATGTCATTAAAATACCATGTTATCGAATTATTTGGGTTTTTCGTTACGTGAGTGTCTAAAGTAACAGATTCTCCCTCCTTCACTGACTTTCTCTTCATTTCATCTCGTTCAGCAGCAGGAACACCTGAAACACAAACCAACAGCTACTATAGGATCTTTTTAGCACTGTAAAGCTGCTTTGACACAATCAATATTGTATAAAGCGCTATATAAATAAAGGTGACTTGACTGGACTAGACCTTTACAAAAAAAGTTACACAACATGAAATAACTGTGCATAGAAAAGTGACTTTCATGTTGCTTTTTGGACTGAAAGTCATGAAAGAATGTTATAGTTCACATTATGAACACATTTAAGATACTTTTGATTAACACCAAATTCTCTCGGCACTTTGGTTGATGAACTAAATGTCAGTGAGGATGAAACAATAGACCAGTTAAAACAGATGTCCAGAGAAGCTTATCAGATTAGAAACAGTCATCTCCATTGGCTGAAGTGCAGCGTTTTAATCAATCTAAGCTGTTAAAACTAACAACTCACAGAATTATAGAACAATATGCTTAATAGACACAAATGTTACAGTTCTGTTATAGCCTCCAAACTGCAACTAGTTTTTACCAGACTTGACAGACAAGGATTGTTTTTAGGGGTTCAAAACCATATTGTAATTGTTAGAATGTCCAAGGATCAGCATTCTTGACCTAAAAGTGATCAGGCAGACCAAACCGCAAGCCCTAGAGACTTGAAACTTGGAGGGATGGTAGTACTCACAGTCTACAGCGTCACAATGGCTTGCCCTGATCAGCCTGATGGTGGCACTACAGTGATCAAAAGTATGAAATCGCTCATAACTATTAAAACCTTTAGTCGCAGACTCAAGTGTCTTATATTGTTGGAATCGGATCGGTCATCGCCTTTTAAGGTATTTTGGATTGTAATTAACTAAATCTAACAAGCAGCAAAAATCATTTTGTATATACAAATAATAAATAGAATTCAAAGAAATAAGATACTGGAGACCCTGATCAGTCTTGATGATGACAAAACCATTCATAGAAATAAAATTTGGAATTTGATAAATCATTCCATTCAAGTCCATACATTTAAGTGTGTAGTTCAGTAAATGTATTTTTGAAGGAATTATCTATGTTCTGTATGTGAATTAAAATACAGGTAAATAGAAAAACACCTATGAATGTCACAGCAAAAAATATCACTAAACACATTAATGATGTTAAATATACAAGGCTCGCTTTCAAACATAATGACTCACCATGAACAGCAACAATGAAGATCTTGGTATTGCTAATGCTGCTGTGGCGGCGGTGGACCCTGTTGATCAGTAGATCATAGAGTCCAGAGTCTGTGGTTCTGATGTCTCTGATGGTCAGAGATCCAGTCTTACGATCCAGCTTCAGTCTGCCTTTGAATCTCTCAGTGCCATTATTACACTGAACATCTGTACAGATCTTTCCGCGATCTCCTAAGATTCTAGCTATTGCAGTGTGATTAAAATACCATCGAATCTTTTCTTTTTGTTTCATTCGAACACCAGTGTGTAGAGTGACTGAATCTCCCTCCATCACTGACACTCCGTCTGTATCAAAACTGAAAAAACCTTAAAAAGAAATCAACAGTTAATTGTAAGTCAGATAATATTATATAATAGGAAAATGCTGTGAAAATATTTTTCTACAGATTGTGGGTGGCAGCAGAAGAACATCATTGATTTTCACATTCACTAATCAGACAAACATACATGAGTCTCACATTTGATCTTGAACATCTTAATGAACATCATGAACATTAATATTACCCATAATAATACTTTAGGAAAATGTGTTAAATTATCTGGAGAGTGGAAGTAGACAGGGCTGCTGTCTTATGCCCTGTCCAAATACCCACACTTGCAGTCCTGGCCTGGCCTAAGTGTATCAGATCATGCATCATGTTGTGGAAATAAATCGTGAGACTTTTTGCCGACATCTCGGGAGAGGTCACGGAAACCTTTCCAAATGCACGTTAAATATTAATAATAATTAGATATTACATGTAATTTTGTAGTAAAACAAAATTGCACGTTTTATTGGTGCAAAGATTAGGGCTTAATTATAAGCCAAACAAAACTGCACAACAGGAAAGTGCTGTGAAAATGTTTTTCTACAGATCATAAATAGTATGAGTAGAGAAAATACATGCATAATACATTCACATTCAAACAAACAGCAGAAGAACATCACTAATTTACGCATTGACTCATAAGACAAACATAATAAGTCACAAGGAAGATTTTTGCAACTTGATGATCATACAAAGAAAGAAACATGGCATCCCTGTAACTTACCATACACGAGTAAATACATGAGCATTGAGAGCAAGTTTGAGACAAACTTCATTTTTACAATTTTGCCTAAAAATGTAGATTCAGTAAAAAAAAAAAAAAAAAAGAAAAAAAGTTTTTTCCTC